CGGCTTCAGCTTTCAAAAGCCAGACCCAACAGGCAGGAGAAGACTAAATCTCATGTCACTGGAAATCCACTGAAAGTAGCAGTCTTCAAGCCTAGCATAATAAAGCTTACCCCCAATGGCCTCTATTCACACATTCACCAAGTATTTACTGATTTACTTGATTTATATCAAGAGTTCACTGCTCTGAGCAAGCAATGGGGAAATGAAATGACTCAGACATTGTTCCCATCCTGGACATGCTCAGTCTAATGGAAGACCAAAAAAAAAAAAAAAAAAGTCACAGATAATTAAATCAAACGAGGTCAATACAGTGAGAGGGGTTATGGGAGCTGGAGGTTGGAGATGACTTAATCTGCTTAAAGGAACTGAACAAAGTAACAGTTGAGTTGGTTCTTGAAGGAAGAGTGGTTCTCTTGGCAGAGAATTGGGTGGAAGGATATATTCTAAGTAGAGAGAACAGCATACATAATGGTGGAAAATCAAATAGCCTGCCAAGGACACGCAGAAAACCTTGATAAACCTGTAGCAAAGGTTACGCTGCCAAAGGGAGTTTATGAAGGGTCCAGAATATCAGACTGTATGGACTTAATTCAACACGTGATGGTTTTTAAAGCAGGAGAAAGTATAATCAGATTTGTGGGTTAAATACATCACACCAGCTGCAATGTATCTGTCCATTCTGGGGAAGTGAAAAGGTGAAGGCTTCTGCAGATACCCTGACAAGAAAGGGGCAGATTCTAGACATTAAAGAAACTCAAAGATTCGTGGATGTGGAAGAACGCAAGTGGAATGAACCAGCGGGTGAAGCAAGCAGGTAGGTAAGGAGGCAGGCAGGTAGGTAAAGTGGATGATGGTGCCATTCACTCCTATCAGGCCTAAGGAAAGTGCAGGTTTAGGCAGGACACAATAGCCGTCCCCCGCCCCCCGCCCCGCCCCTGGGTTCTAGAGGGAACCACCAATCGAGGATATCAAATTGCGTGTGTTTGTCCCAGACGGGTAGGTGGAGAGGAAACTATTTTTACTGTCGGGCTCCCAGCTCTGGCCTCTAATCTTCACTTCTTGCCAGGGCCCTAGAACCCTCTATCGTCCCCTCTGTGCTCTCCAGACCCTCAAGTGACTCTCCCACCTCCAAAACCTCTCTCAGCCGCCTACCCTACAGACCTTTCTAACCCCCGCCTCACTCCCAGGGCCCTCCACGTCCCTCCTCATCTCCGACCCCTCTATGACCCGTCCCATCTCCGGACGCTGCATCTTCTGGCCGCCCCTCACCCGCCAACCCCACACCTACGCTTCTATCTCCCCGCTCTCCTTCCCCGGCCCCCTGTAACACCACCACCTCCTAAGCTTCCAGCCCAGTGCCTGAGCCTCAGCTGCCCCCGCCCCGCCACCCGGACTCACCCACCAAGACACCCACTTCACAACAGGGCGGAAGTGCTCCAGAACTCGCGCAAGGGATTCTGGGACGCGGAGTCCGGACCGGGCCACCCCAGAAATGGAGCGTCTAGGACTACAACTCCCAGAAGAAACCGCGCGAGAGCGCCAGTGGCTCCCTCTGATTGCAGCCTTTCGGATGATGTCAGCCAATCGATGTGTCATCTTCTCGCGGATCCTGGCACCGGAACAAATCGGAACAGGGCCCATGCCTGGGGGCGTGGCCTGCTTCAATCCTGACCCTTTCCGTTGGCTCCGAGATAGAAGCACCGCCCAGTAGGCGTTCACTGGTGCAAAGGGGGCGGGGTCTCTTGAAAGAACTGAGCGACCTCTGTAGACGCGGAGAGATCAAAGCAAGAAACAATATGAAATAAGCAAAGGGGTGGCTAGAGATGAATAGACCGTTTGTTGGGCAATAGAGAGACAGTTGTAGGTTCCATTTTCACAGCTATGTCGTGTGGCTTTGGATGAATTCTGAACGTGTAAAACGTAGGACAATAATAACATCCATGTCACAGGATTTATGTGAGGCTTCATGAGACAATACGATTAGCTCAAGGACCAGCGGGCCTAATAATGCACAGTGAATGTTAGCCATTATTATGCAAATCCGTTTGTACAGAGCTTGACACTTCGTGGGTGTCAGAGCAATGTTAATCATTATTACAGAATAATCTTAATATAATATGTAGTTGCTTTGTACCATTGTGAATAGTTCAAGGTAAGAGCAATCTAATATGGAGCTGAGAATATGGGTTTTATAGTCAGACATGGATCCAAATCCCAGCCCCAACTACTTCCTAGCGATGTAGTCTTGAACAAATTCTGCATCACTTTTGTCTTCAGTTTTCCCATATATAAAATGCAGGTAATATAACAGAACCTACATMATGGATTGTTGAACAGATTAAATGAGATGACGTGGGTAAAGAAGGGTCTCTATGGTCCGGCTGCTTTTGTCCAAAACTTATTATTTTCAAATGTAAGGTGTACATCTTGCTATTTTTTTTTTTCTTATTTGTGAAACTTTAGGCAAATTATTTAATCTCTTTATGTCTCAATTTCCTCATCTGGAAAATGGGAATGATAACAATGGTATCTTCTTGATAGGGTTGTCAAGAGTATTAAATTGGAGAAAGGATGTAAAAAGTTTGGTACACAAAAAGTTTAATAACCATTAACCATTATTATTTTGTTAATAGCTATAAGGTTTGGGGTAAATTAACAGTACCTAACATATGACAGAGGCTTACATGTTAGCTAGGGTTAAAACTAGGGGAAATCCATATCTTAGTTTTAATAACCCAGTTCAAATTCCTTGTCCTCTGTAAACCATGTGCCGACTTATTTATAATGATGTCTCTTGTGAATTTACTCAGTAAATGTAATTGTAACCTATTAACAGTCCTCATTGTTGAAGTCTCACAACAACCCTATGTGTTTGATAGAGTTGCCCCCAATTTGGGAGTGGGATCTTAGAGAAATGAAGTAACCTGCTCAAGAATGCATGAGCACTTAGTACCAGGGTTGGAATTTGACCGCTTGTGTGTGCCTACAAAGACCTCCTCTCTGACATTTCATGAGGAAGAGACCTCAGACAAAATAAAGGGAAGCCTCATGGGGTAGACAGAGTATGGGGTGCTGGGTGGGCCTGAGACATTTGAGAGAGTGTCAGAATCTGAAGCTGAAAGGTGGTTTTTCAGGGTCAAGTAAAGTCATCTTCGGCACCTACCTTGAAGAGAAAGAATGGAAGTTGAGTATGCAGAGAGTGAAATACACCATTAGGACACAAGAGGGCGCCCCTTGCCCTAAATCCAGGAATTGTTCTATAGCTTCCCTTAGCCTTTAGGTAATAAAAGCCAGGCATTTTACAAAAAAAGTAAAGTTCCCAGGTTCCACAGCTTAGTCCCTAAGAAAGTCCCTAAGAGTCCAAGTGCCCTGCCCAGTGTCATACAGAAATAAGCGACAGAACTTGAATAAGACTTGGGTTCTCTCTAGTTCAGCATCCATCAGAGTTTGGTTTATAAGCATTCTGTACGCTGTTGCCTATCAGAACCCTTTCTCAGCTGGGCCAGCAGTAGGCTCCAAGAGTGCAGAGATGACTCAAACAAACCTGGTCCCTGCCTCCAGGATCTGATCTCCAAACTTTCCCAATCAAGCTCTCCTATGAGTTTAGGAACATTAGAGAACACATATTTCCAAGGTATGTATATTTATTTATAAAAGATACACATGTAATAATATCTTCTATAGAATATTTGTAATGCATTATTAGGTCCTGGTCTCAGTGTTTCAGACATATTAACTCATTTAATTCTCACAAAACCCTTTGCTAGAGGGTGAAATGCTATTCTATAATACAGAATTTGAAACTGTGGTACAGAGAGGTTAAGTAACACACCAAAGCCTCCTGGTTGAAAAGCAGGGCATCTAGCTTCAGAATAAAGTGAGGGGAAAAAAATAAAGATAAATAGAAGTTATAACATTTTCTTTCCAAAGCCCAATAGGTCATCTTGTACACCCCACTTTGGAGACACTGCTCTAGGGGATCCCAGGTCTACAGTCTGTCCTTTGAGACAGAGAGGTCCAGGAAGTTATGAGAGCCCAGAAGCAACAGCTTACCCAGGTGGGAGGTCTCTGAAGGCTTCCAGAGAAAATAATACCTGAGATGAAACTTGAAAGAATGCTTAGGAAAAAGGGCTGGGGTTGTGGCTCAGTGGTAGAGCACTTGCCTAGCAGTCATGAGGCACTGGGTTTGATCCTCAGCACCACATTAAAAAAATAAAATACAGGTATTAAAAAATGTGTAATCAAAAAACAAAATGCTTTGGAGGTCCCCAGGGAAAAGGTGTTCTTCAGTAAAGGAGCAGTAGGTGCAAAGGCCCTGAGGCAAGAGCATATATTATTCTGGGAGTCACAGGTGGGTTATCTTAGTTAAAGCACAGTGGTACTCGGATACTCAAAAAGACAATATATTTGAACACGACTTCATATTTTCAAGGAGGGAACAGGCAAGCAGTCTGTTGTCTCCTGGCCAGTGTCCCAGCTTTTAGTCCCCAGCTACCAATCCCTCTATAATCCCAGATGGCAAAAGAGGCCTTGTGCCCCCTTGAAGATCTGATTGAACTTAGCCTAGTCCCAGATTCTACAGTTTTGGAATGTCCAGAGCCTTCAATCCTTCCCTGCATGCTTCATAAAATCCCAGCCTTATAAAATTCTTTGTGCTACAATCTCTGTGACTCAAGTTCCTTTGCCTTCTGCCTCATGTGGGTTTTCATTAAAAAAAAAAATCAAGTCAAGTATTTCATGGATTTAGTAAATTTACTGGAGGATTTGGAGATGTTGAAATCACATCACAAACAGCAAGGCCACCTGCCATGATCCAGATATTCTCCTTCGGCCTCCAGAAACTCCCGAAGTCTGGGTTGCCAACATTTGGTCCTCCGGGTGCCTGCAGAGTCCCATCTCACTGGAAGTTGGGTTCAGATTCACGGCCCCATATATCACTATCTCCCTGCAAGGCGGCTTGCCTTCCCTACCTCTGCCCTAACCTAAAACAGGCCCCCATTCTACCTGCACCGGGGCTGCCCCAGCCTGCCCCTCAACCAAGCCCAGAAGCTGTCCTTTCCTTCATCTTCTTTGGGCCATACGCAATAGTCTCCTCGGCGGAGCAGCCGGGCCAGTCTATGGTAGCGGGGCAGCTGGTGGCGGGAGACGGGCTCCAGGAAGATCAACAGCAGCACTGGGGGGTGAGGGGCAGCCAACAGGAGTGAAGTGGCCAGGCGCAGCTCCAGACGGCAGCGAGGTGTATGTAGGGCCCGGTGACTCAGCACACAGAGTGTGATTCGGCTGCTGGCCATGCTGTCTGCCACATTGTCCACCACATCCTTTCCTGGCTCAAAATCTCGCTCAGGGAGGCAAAGACGCAGGCCCTGGCCMGCCGGAGGGCAGCCCTCCAGGGCAGGCAGCAGCTCCTGCACCACCCAGCCCTGATCTTGCCTACAGTGAGACACGAACACATCATAGAGGAAATTCTTGCCCTCATTCTTCTGACCCCTCAGGCCCTGGAACCAAGCCCTGAACAAGGCCTGGACATAGAGGACCCAGGAGTTCCTGGCTTCCTGTAGAAGGGGCAAGGAGATCAGAAGCAGCAGCAAGGCGAAGCTGCCCCAAAAGAGTTCCAACTCCAAGGTCTCCTGGCAGTGGTTCAAGAGAAAGGGGAAAAGAGGATTCTTGGAGGGGCCCCCTGATTCTGCCGGGCACAGCTGTGGTGGTTGTACCCACATGTATGTTCTGGGGGACCGTTCAAACCAGGGCTCCAGCCATGCATTGGCACACCGGCAGGCCAAGGACGAAGTCAGAATGTACACATATTGGGGCATCTGAGGACTCCGCTCCTGTAGACTACCATCCAGCACAAGGCCTTTCTCCCAGTCCAGCACTAAGACCTGGAGACTGCCTAAGCCCTGGAAAGCGGCAGCAGATAGTGTCTCCAACCCTGTTCTGGCCAGCTGCAGCACGCGGAGCCGTGGCAGCTCACCCACCAGCTCCTGGAGCTGCACTGGGCGGGGCCGAGCTCTGTACTTCAAGGCATCCAGCTTCAGCTCCAGGAGGTTGGGCAGCCCTGTAATGCAGCAGGGCCTGGGGCTGTGCCCATCTCCGCGTACCTTCAGGGACTGGAGCCCGGGAAGCTGCCAGAGGAAGAAGCTGGAGGTGTCCTGAGAGCAGAGGGCCTCCAGGCTACTGCCAAGAAGGGTGAGTTGACGAAGGGCCGGGAAGATTTCCGAGATGTTCTGGGTCTYCAGGTGCAGTCCCCAGCCATCTAAAGTCAGAGTCTCTAAGATTGGAAAGACATTAGGAAACAGCTTCCGGTGCTTCATGCCTGGGACTGCCTGAAGCTCCAAGCTGGTCAGCCTTTCAGGCAGGGATAATGCTACCCCAGCAGGGGCAGAGGGGAGCTGCAGTCTCAAGTGGTGCAAACTCTCTGGGCCCCAGAAGCCCCAGGTTGGCCTAAACAATATGTGGGTGTTGAGAAGGTTTAGAGTGGTCAGTGAAGGCAGAGGAGCCAGCCAGCCCCCACCCAGGTTTACCAATGGATTTGTACTCAAGTCCAAGATCTCCAGCTTCCATAGGTCCTGGAATACCTCGCCCTCCAAGCTCACCAGCTGGTTTCTCTGAAGTAGCAGCTCCCGCAGGTGGGACAAACAAGAGAAGGTGGCTGGGGACAAGGCGAGCAGCCTATTGTCAGACAGATTCAGGGTCCACAGTCCTGACACAAATCCTGTCTCATTCATGCACAGCCTGACCCTCTGCAGTTGGTTTCCAGCCAGGTTCAATCTCTGAAGCCTGGGCATGGCAGTCAGGAAATTTGGTGGCAGATCAGTTAGGCCACCGTTCTGAAGAACTAAACTCTGCAAGCTGTGGCAGGAAGCCAGGGCTTCCAGAGTTATGTGCCCTATCTGTTTGTTTCCCACCTGCAGTTCCTGCAGCTCAAAGTGAGCCACCGTCTCAGCAGGCAGCTCAGCCGTGACAGTGAAGAACACCGACAGACTCTTGAGCTTCTGCAGTCCCAGACTCAACACTGCAGCTGCATCCATCTTTGTGTGGTCCAGATGCAAAGTCCCCAGCCTGAGGCCCTGGAGGGCCCCAGGACTGGCCATCTTCAGCTGCCAGTTGAATGATAGATCCAATACATCCAGGGTCCGGGCATCCCCAGAGAAGGGAGTATGAGCCAGATCTGGGAAGATGTCATCCAGTTCCCCCACATCCTGAAGGCAACTGAACCTAACGGCCAGCTGACGTAGACTGGTAGGCAATTGGATACTTGAGTTCCTGTCCAGACAGGGGCCCAAGAAATTGAGTTTTTGGAGGGATCTCAGGTCATCAAGGGCATTGGGGTGTAGGAAGAGGTAGTTCTTAGACTGAGGAGCCATAAAAGAGAGCTCCTGCAGCTGACCCAGGCCTCGGAGAGCTCCTGGCAGGAGTCGGGTAAGACGCAAATTCAACCCCAGAACCTTGAGTCCAGGGTAGTTGGAGAAGGCATCCTGGGGCAGAACAGAAATGGAACCAGCAAGACAGAGCCCCTCCACCCTCTGAGGCACAGCTTCCAAGGCCTGTGTCAGGTTGGTCACCTTGGTGCATATAGCAAGGAAGGGCAGTCTGGAATTCAAGGGGCAGTTCAGGAAGAAGCGGGAGACCAGGGGCAGCCAGGAGCCTTCCGTCACTAGGCAATTGGAAGCAGTCCAGCCAGCAATCAAAGGAAGTGACAGGAGCAGACTGTGTAGCAGYAAGTGCCCAGCCATCCCAGCACCAGCCTGATCCACAGAGAAACAGAATCAYAGAATCAAAGCCTCTCTCAGCAACCCTCCTTTTTGCAAATAAATCCCAAACCCACCCTCTCCTTCTCTACATGCACATGCACAATACTTACAGTAGTGGCAAGTTGCATATCCTCAAGTGCCTGGGAGGCCTGGGAGCAGGGATAGAGGACCACAGTGCTTCCAGACTATACAACTGTTGGGGAACTGAATGGGAGGGTGGGAACAGAATAGGAAATGCTTATAGCTGAAACTCCAAGGGCAGGGAAAGGAAGTACACTAGTGCAGAAGTGGGCCCAGGTCTCACTTCTCTGTTGTGAGAAAGCAAGCAGTGCTTTTAAGCATAAGATCTAGAGCCAGAGAGCCAGGATTTCACTCTGCYATTAACCCGAGCAGGGCATTTCATCTCTCTGAGCTTTGGTTTCCTCATCTATAAAATAAACCTACTAACACCTGCTTCATAGGGTTGCTGCGAATAATGAATGAGGGGTTTCTCGCCTCATTCCTTTACTACTTCCTCCTTTGACTCCTAAGAGAAAGGAGTCCTTGAGTAAATTACAAAGCAGATGTTTTGGAAGCAAAATAATATATCAAAATGATGCCTCTGTGGACATCTTGCAACATTCCACACGGAAGATTCCAAAACCTTGAGCTTCACCTGAGAGGACTGAAAGGCCCTTGAAGTCTAGGGCAAGGTAGGAAGGTCTTCATGGCCTTGACCTTGACATGCACTCCCAAGATGGAGGCAAGACCCAAGGGAGGACAGAAAGAGAAAAGGGAGTTTTATGGTTATATCAAATGTTGCAGTAAACCGTTTCAATACAAGCCAACATATGTTCATAATTTTAAAAATAATGAACTGACAGAAGATAAATTCCTTGACTTAGAAAAGGTATCTATCTCAGATCTGTAACAACTACAATTCTTAATGGTGAACCAACCATTGCCTTAATTGAAAGCCAGGAATGAGACAATTATTAGTATTTCTGTTCAACAGTATAATGGAAGTAGGTCTAAGCCAAGGAAATAAGCAATAAAAGAAATTAAAAATTAAAAGTATTTTAAAGGAAGGAACACTAGGTTAAGATGCTGATTGTCTACACAGGAAATCTAAGAATTTCTAAAAACAAACTATTAAAACTAAAGAATATTTACCAAAGATGCTGGATACTAGACATATTTTTTTAATGTTCTAATGCATTAATGCCTTAATTTAGGTCTCTATAGAAAATAGCACATTCAAATTAATATTTTTCTAGCAATTTTTTGGGCAAAAGGACTGATCAAAAAGATGTTAACTGGTTTTGGGTATCACAAGATAGTTCAGGAAAGTTGGCCAGATTGACAAGCACAGAAACTGTCTCCTTTCCTAAAATTGAATGGATAAGATTGGGAGGAGTTACTAGGTCCTAGAAGGAAAGGGAGTTTTGTTGTAGGATTAGCTACCTTGACAGGAACAATGACATTTGGTCAAGTAATGAAACCAACCTGAGGGGACATCATAGGAAGGAAAAAAGAATCTCAAATGTCCTGATATCTCCTTGCCACACACTCTTTATCTCTCTCTTTCTCTCTCCTCCCTCCCTTTGATCTCTTCCCAGGATGCTCCATTGGCCCCAGAACCAAAGGGAAGAAAAACCTTAACATAATTCATTCAGTTCAGCTTCTCTGAGCATAGAGCCAAATGGAGACAGAAAAGTGGATATAGTCAGAAAAACTAAAGAAACACAGCAGCAATACCACTGAAAATTAGAAAATGCACTCTGATAAATAATAATAATAATAATAATAATAATAATAATAATAATAAACAAGGATTTGTAGATAAATGGAGCAGAATATAGTCCAAAAATAGAACTAATCATATCTACTCCCTGATTTATAAAAGACACCTATTTAATTCCATTTATCTTATCCAAAACAACTCAAGATGCATCATAAGTCTAATCATAAAAAAGAAAACAATAGACAGGCATGATGGCACATGCCTGTAATCCCAGCAGTTTAGGAGTCTGAGGTAGGAGTTTCATGAGTTCAAAGCCAGCCTCAGTAACTTAGTGAGGCCCTAAGCTACTTAATGAGACCCTGTCTCTAAGTAAAATGTAAAAAGAGGATTACRGCAGAGTACTTGCCTAGCATGTATGAGGCACTGGGTTTGATCCTTAGTACCACATAAAAATAAACAAATAAAATAAAGCATGCTGGCCATCTACAATTACAAAAAAAAATTAAATGTAAAAAGAGCTGGGGGGTGTGCTTCAGAAGTTAAGCACCCCTGGGTTCAATCTCTGGTGCCAAAAAAATAAAACAATAAATCTTCTAGGTGAAAACAGAATATTTTTATGGTCTTGAGATGAGTAAAATTTTCCTAAATAGGCCACAAGAATTACTAGCTACAAACTTTTTCATAATTTAACTTCATTAAAATTTGGAAAATGTGTTCATTTGAAAATGTGACTAAGAAAGTGCAAAGATAAGCCTTGCATAGGAGAAGATATTTTTAATACATATGCTTAACAAAGGACTCAAAGTGTGGGATATGTAATAAATATAAACCAGAATCACACATGGGCCAAAAAAGAAACCATAATGAAAATTATCAAGTGCTTTAATTGAATAATAACAAAAATCCACCAAAACAAAATTTGTAGGATAAACCTAAAGTAATGTCTGTAAGGAAAATGTACGATCTTATTTATCTGTGTTAGAAAATATAAGAGCGAAAGTCAAAAATTAGTGAACCAGGAAAGAGACTCAAAAATTTAGAAAAGAAATAATTCAAAAATAAGAAGATTCTCACTGCCTCCATTATGCAGCAACATATCAAACTAGCCCCCCTACCACGAACAAATATAAAACTGGACCAAATAATGACATAACTACTCTCAGATACAGGGACATCAGCTCATTGTATCTGTGTAACTGAATAGCACAGACTGGGCATTCTGTAATAATCAGAAATTTATTTTTTACAGTCTGAGGCTGAGAAGTCTGAGATAAGACACTGGTGGGTCTGGTGGTCAGGTGAGGACTGCTCTCTGCTTCGCTTCCAAGATGGTGCCTTATTGCTGGATCCTCCGAAGAGAAGAACACTGTCATTCCATGCACAGCCAGAAAAGCAAGATAGCTAAACACTATGTGAAGCTTTTTTTTTTTTTTTTAATACAAGGGCTTAATCTCATTCCCAAAGGAGGAGTTTTGGACCTAAACACCTCCTAAAAGATCCTACTCTTAATACTATTACATTGGCAACATTTAAATTGTGTAGGAGACACATTGAAACCAGAAAGATGAACATCCTTGAGAGAAGGGAAACAAAGGATACTAGCTCTACAGTTGCCCTGACTTTCTACCTGTAGGTATTTACTGATCCCCAGCAGAAAAGGGTAGGGATAGGGGAGGGAAGGCAACAGTGTTTCTGAGCTGAGAGAACCCAAGATCAAGACAACTACATCTGTGAACTAGAGTACAGGAGAGGAGGGAGATACAGAGAGCTCCAGAAATTTCTAGAAATCTGCATTGGTCCCCCAGATGTTTGGACTGAATGCTAAGTTGAATGTGTCTAGGATGAAACACCACAGGACTAGGCAAAGAATAACTGTTGGAGAGCTGTAAGATTAAAATTTTCCAGAGTTCTTCCAGGGTTGGGATATGCTCAAGTCTGGCCAGTCAGACATGAGAGACATAGTTGAATATACAGAGCAACTAGTAGAGAACAATTAGGTTACTCCTTACTAATACAGTTCACATAGCCTAGAGCATAGCCTTAAAAGTCTTGAAATTATTAATTATTAAGCTGTCTGCCCAAACTTTAACATAATATTTAAAGGAAAACAACAAAGTCCAGCTTGTCCATAATGTAACATTTACAATGCCCAACACCTAATAAAAATTATAAGATGTTTAAAAAAGGAAAATGAGACTTATAACCAAGAAAAAAAATAATCAGTACAAACACACCCAGAAACTACAAAGATGATGGTGTTAGCAGATAAAAATACTAAACTAGCTAGCATAAATATTTTGGTATGCTCAAAGATTTAAAAGAAAACATGAACATAATAAGAGAAAGGGAAAATTATTCTTAAACTAATGAAACTTCTAGAACTGAAAAATTACATTTCTGAAATTATAATTTCACTGGATAGGGTTAAAAGCAGATTACACACTATAGAAAAAAAAATGACTAGTGAACTTGAAGACCTAGAGATAGAAACTAACCTGACAGACATGGTGGTGCACACCTTTAATCYCAGCTATTTAGAAGGCTGAAGTAGGAGAATTGAAAATTCAAGACCAGCCTGGGCAATTTAGCAAGACTCTGTATCAAAATAAAAAATAAGGGCTGGGGTTGTGGCTCAGTGGTAGAGCTCTTGCCTAGCACATGTGAGGCACTTCCCTAGCACCACATGAAAATAAAACAAAATTTATTTAAATAAATAAAGGTACTGCACCCATTTACAACTAAAAAGATATTTTAAAATAAATAAATTAATTAAAAGAGCTGGGTTTGTGGTTCAGTGATTGAGTATCCTGCTTGTGATCTACAGTACAAAAAAAGGGCGGGAAGAAGAAGAAGAAGAAGAAGAAGAAGGAGAAGGAGAAGGAGAAGGAGAAGGAGAAGGAGAAGGAGAAGGAGAAGGAGAAGGAAGAGAAGGAGAAGGAGAAGAAGAAGAAGAATTATTTTAGTTACCCTGATGGATAGAAAGAAAAAGCAAACAATCAATAGCAAAAGAGAGAGAGAGAGAGAGAGAGAGAGAGAGATACTGAATTAAGTCAAATGGAACATGGATGAGTTTTTGGAAAACAGAAGTGAAATAGACCGTAAGAAAAAGAAGAACTTCACATATATTTGCACTTTCTTTCTTGATGTGCCATGTGGATTTTATATTAGCTATTGTACTTCACCAATTCTGAGATGCTCATTTATTCATATTTTAACACCTTTGAAAAAGGGCTGCATCCCACAATTAAAATCACATTGG